TTTTGAGTGAGGTAACCCAGACACACACAGAAAGACAATTATCACATGTACTCACTCCTAGGTGGTTTTCAAACATAAAGCAAAGAAAGCCAGCCTACAAACCACAATCCCAGAGAACTTAGACAACAATGAAGACACCAAGAGAGACTTACATAGATATAATCTACATGGGAAGTAGAAAGTAGAAAAAGATAAGATCTCCTGAGTAAATTGGGAGCATGGGGACCTTGGGGGAGGGTTGAAGGGGAGAGGCAGGGAGGGGAGCAGAGAAAAATGTAGAGCTCAATAAATATCATGATAAAAATAAAATAAAAAATACATTATATACACATGAAATTGTCAAAGATGTTTTGGGGGTTTTTTGTGGGGGGGTTGTTTTTTTTGTTTTTTTTGTTTTTTTTTTTTTTGAGGCATGGGTTTCTCTGTGTAACCCTGACTGTCCCGGAACTCACTCTGTAGATCAGGCTGGTTTCACACTCAGAATCCACCTGTCTCTGCTTTACCAAGTGCTGGGATTAAAGGTGTACATCACCACTGCCTGGCTGTCAGGTAATTTTTTTAAGGTTTATTTATTTATATGTATATAGTGTTCTTCCTGCATGAACACCTGCAGGCCAGAAGAGGGCACCAGATCTCATTACAGGTGGTTGTGAGCCACCGTGTGGTTGCTGGGAATTGAACTCAGGACCTCAGGAAGAGCAGCCAGTGCTCTTAACCTCTGAGCCATCTCTCCAGCCCGTCAATTTTTTTTTTAAAAAAAAAAAAAATTAGAGTATTTGGAATAGAGAGAGAGGAGTCTGTGACCTTAGTGAAAACTTGGGTGAAGACAATGGCTCAGCAGTTGAGTGCTTGGTGCAGAAGCATGAGGGCATGATTTCAAATCCCTGGAACAAGAAGCTCAAATGTGACCACACACATCTGCGGGGGGGGCGGGGGCCGACGCGGGGGGGACGGAGCTGGTTACTAGCATAGCTCCCTGTTGAGTAGGAGACCGCTCACGGGAACAAGGTGGAGAGTGAGAGAGCAGGACACCCTGGCCGCTAAGCCTGCACAGGCCACAGGCATGCACACAAAACGGGGAATCCCTGATGTCATTTTACTAACGTCTTCCACTCCACCCCATCTGTCTAGCCATTCCTTAGGACCCAGCCACACTGAGCTCACGTCCCGTGCTCTCGGATGAGCTGTCCCCTCTGCCTGGGATACTGTTAACTTAACCATGTGGTGAACTGGGTCAGGGCCCACCTGCCATGCTGCATGGAGAGAGTAGGCAAGGCTCACATCACTCAGCTACATCCTCATGCTATATCACTCTGGAGCGGCCAACGCCGGGCAGAGTGGCCGACGCTGGACAAATGGCTCCTCTGTCTACCCTCTCTGCTCAGTTTCCAAACATTTCCTACCTCCCCGAGGTATGAGAAGTAATGAATTCTGCGGAGAACTTTCTAGTACATAATAGCTACTGTTAATTGCCCACCAGCCCCCTTGTTTTCATTGCCTCAGGCAGGAGTGAGCGTACCTAGTTCACCCATACAGAGACTGGTTCCTAGGAGTGTTCCACTGCTGAGCACATTGAAGCACATTCACTTCGAACTGCATATTCCAGCAAGTCTGAGATTGCCATAGTTAACCTTCTCAAATCAAGGTACGGGGGTGGGGGGGCCTAGAACTTACCCTACAGCCAGGCTGGCTCCAAATTCAGAGATCTGCCTGCCTCTGCATCCTCTATGCTGGTATTAAAGGTGATGCCACCACGCCAGGCCTCACTCTTCTCTTTTGTGTGTGCAGTAGCAACAGGGCTTTGTGCATGCCAAGCAAGTTCCCTACCACTGAGCTACATCCCCAACTTAGGAAACCTGTTTAATCTCGATGATGTTAGGCGTTTATGAAAACGTTCGTTTTGTCTGGCATCTCTCCCAGACTGCAAACTGGGAGAACGGCAACACGTCATCCCCGACTATTTCCTGTCTTCCCTGCCAGTGCCTTAGCCTGATTCATTCGAGACACTGAGGAACGTGAATGGAGGGATGGTGGAGGTGATGACATGAGCAGACCGACTCCGAGGGCGCAGGCCCAGCCTGAGAAATCCCAGGGCACCCTCGACAAGTAACCAGAATGAAACAGCAAAGTCTTCGGCAAACAACTGTTTAGCGACTCTTTCAGGAAAACAGAATTTGGAGCTAGGCGGTGGGATAGACCTTGAAACCTCAACCCCTGAGGCAGAGACAGGAGAGCAGCAGAGTCTGAGGCCAGCAAGTCCTCTACAGTGAGACACGGTCTCCAAAGCAGCCAGAGAAGGGGCTCTTGCAGAGGACCTGAGTTCGAGTCCCAGTACCCACATCAGGCAGCTCTCAGCCACCTGTAAGGCCAGCACCCAGGGGATCCCATGCCTCCAGCCTCTGCGGGCACCAGCACTCATGTGCACTTACCCAAAAAATACACATAATTAAAAATAAAACCTTAACCGGGTGTAGTGGCCCCCCCTTTAATCCCAGCACTGGAGATCCAGAGGCAGGTGGAGACCGGAGGGAGGCAGGAGTATTGGAGCTCCAGGTAACATTTCCTTTGAGGCTAGTCTGGGCTACTTGAGACCCTGTGTGCAAACAAAGCCAGGCCGTGAAAGGCCCCACGTGGAAGCTTTCTCGGCATGCCTAGCAACTCTTCACTCAGCATCTGCCTAGTGTGTCCCCCAAGCTGTGTGGCAGAGAATAAAGGGAGATAAGCAGAGATAGCCCCCGCCTTCAGCACGCCCAGTCTGTGCAGCTGCAGACATAATTGTTTATTCACACGGTATTTATACCCCACTCTTCTAAAAAGGGCTTAGACCTGGCTCACACTTAATCAGAAATAACTCGGGTACAAGGGATATGGCGGCATGTACAAAAAAGGAAAATGCAGAGATTCCATCCCAAACCCTGGATGACTTTAAGATGGATGATGACTAGGTGGTACTTGGGGGTGAATGTGACCAGTAGAGGAGGGAATGAACTCATTGGACTCAGCCTCTTGGGCTCTCACCATAGCCAAGCATGAGTCACTGTTGAGTTAGAATTTAAAAAGGCTCCCGTGAAAGGAGTAGGCAGGCGCAGGTTCAAACTACTTTACTGAGCCTCAATTTCCTTGTGTTTAAAACCTAAGAATTCAAGCCAGATATGGCAGTCCATTTTACCCTGGTAGCACAGGCTTGCCATCCTAGCTACATGGGGGGCAGAAGCAGGGAGATCTCAAATTCAAGGCCTGCCTGAGCTACTCAGTGAGTTCAAGACTAACCTAGTCAAACTGGGCCCTGTCTCAAATAAAAAGAGGACTAGGGGAGGGGGTTTGGAGAGATGGCTCAGTGGTTAAGAGCATTGGCAGCTCTTCCAGAGGTCCTGAGTTCAATTCCCAGAACCCACTTGGTGACTCACAACAATGGGATCTGATGCCCTCTTCTGGCCTGTAGGCATAGGTGCAGATAGAGCATATTCATAAAATAAATAAATCTTAAAAATTTATTTAAAAGCTTGGTGGTGACGCACACCTTTAATTCCAGCACTCAGGAGGCAGAGGCAGGAAGGTCTCTGTGAGTTCCAGGCCTGTCTAGTCTACAGAATGAGTTCTAGGATATCCAGGGCTGTTACACAGAGAAATCCTGTCTCAACAAACTAACAAAATCTATTAAAGAAAGAGAGAGAGGACTGAGGATAAAGCTCCGTGGTAGAGAGCTTGCCAAGCATGCATGAAACCCTGGGCCCAGTCCCCAGGATCCACTGCCCCCACCACCACAGAGTTATATAAACCAAAAGTGAAAATAATTGTCAGGGTCAGGTAGGCAGCTAGAGAAATGGCTCAAGGGCTAAGAGTGCTTGCTGTTCTGAAGAGGGCCCAAATGCAGTTCCCAGCACCCTCCAGTAGCTCACAGTCACCTCTCATCCCACATTCCAGGGGATCCATCGCCCTCTTCTGGCTGCCTTGGGCACTGCATGCACATGGCGCACATACATACTTGCAGATAAAACATTCATATACATAAAGTAAAAAGAGTAAGATTTTTGGGGCTGGAGAGATGACTGAGAGGTTAAGAGCACTGACTGCTCTTCAAAGATCCTGAGTTCAATTTCCAGCAACACCACGGTGGCTCACAACTATCTATAATGAGATCTGGTGCCCTCTTCTGACATGCAGGCAGAATACTGTTTACATAATAAATAAATAAATAAATAAATCTTTTTTTAAAAAAGAGTAAGATTGGGCTGGAGAGATGGCTCAGTGGTTAAGAGCATTGTCTGCTCTTCCAAAGGTCCTGAGTTCAATTCCCAGCAACCACATGGTGGCTCACAACCATCTGTAATGAGGTCTGGTGCCCTCTTCTGGCCTGCAGGCATACACACAGACAGGATATTGTATACATAATAAATAAATAAATATTTAAAAAAATAGTAAGATTTTTTAAAAATGGGTGGGGAGGGGATATGGTTCAGTGGTACAGTGCTTGCCAAACAAGCACAAGATTCTGGGTTCAATCCCCAACACACACAAAGAGCTGTGTAAACCAAGAACTCAAATACCCATCAAATCCTAATGCTGGCCTTAACCAAATGAAATTAATACAAAGCCAGGAGAAAGAATGAGTTAACAGACCCAAGAGCAGGTCCCTTCTTTCACACTGAATGGTAACCCCACCCCAAATACATTAGACCTCTCTGGGTATGGTACACCGTTATTTCCAACACTCAGGAGGCTGAGGCAGGTGGATCTCTAAGTTTGAGGTCAGCCTGGTCTACAGAGTGAGTTCCAGACCAGCCAAGGCTACAAAGAGAAACTTTATCTTGGAAGGAAAAAATAAAGCAGATGTCAGACTTCCCTTCACCTAAATGACGTCACTTCTGCTGGCTATGGTGGCACACACCTGTAATCCCAGCACTCAGACGGCTGAGGCAGGAAGGGTCTCGAGTTTCTTAAGGTCTCCCAGCCAGCCTGAATGACATAGCAAAACTCTCCAACACAGAGGACAGGCCTACCCTGTACTGTTGAACCTCCTCGTCACGTTTCTGCCTCACGAGTGTGATCTGGTCCTCCAGGTTCCTGTTCTGAAGGTGGAGCTGCCGGGCCTCGGCTTGCAGGGGTCTCAGCGCCTCCTTCATCTTTTGGATCTCGGCCTGGGTGTCCTGCAGCGCTTTGGTCCCTGCCTCTTTCCTCTCCAGAAGCCGCAGCAGCTGAGGCTCGTACTCCTCTTCCAGGCCCTGGCGGCTTTCTGCCATGAGATTTTCAAACTGCGTCGACAGCCGCCGACTCTCCTGGAGGAAGTGCCCATCGCTCTGGGTTGGGGGTACTTCTAATTGTTGCTGCAACTGCTCCTTCTGTTTCTGATAGGCGTCGCGGAGCTGGGTCAGTTCTCCCGAGAGCTGGGCTGCCCGAGTGCTCAGCGCTTCCTTGCAATCGGTAAACTGAGCCACGTCCTGCTGGCGGCACTCCAGCTGGTATTGGTAGGCCACGCATTCCTTGGTCACCTTGAACAGCTTCTGCTTCACCATCCGGATCTCCTCCCTGAGCCCATCCCGCTCCAGCTCGGCCTGGGCGTGCAGCTTATAGGCAGCCAGGATGTCCTGGTGGATTTGCTGCACCTCCTGCAGAGCTGGTTCCCGGAGCAGCACAAGCTCGTGGATAAGCTGGTCCCTCTCCTCTTCCAACTGGGATACAGCCTGTACACACTCCTCGAAACGGCCCTCCAGCAACTCCAGGTCCTCCATGCTGAGGTCCTCCTCTGTGCTGGGAATCAGTGGAGCCGGAAGGCTTTCCTCCTGTGCCACCATCTCTCCCTCACAAGCAGTCTGCTCCGGGCTTGGGTTCTTAGCTGGCTCCACAGGCTCCTGGGACAACTGTACCTCATCTGGTTTCACGGGTTCCTCCACAAACAGGGGCTCCTCTGAACTCACCGGCTCTTCCAGATCCAGAGCCTCCTCCGGCTGCCTCGATTCATCGATACATAGTGTCTCCTCTGGCTTCTCAGACTCTTCCACGTAGAGGCTCTCTTCAAAGTCCACCGAGTCCCCCAGATAGAGAATGTCTTCTAGGTTCACAGCCCCCTCCAAAGATAGAGTAGCCTCTGGGCTCAAAGTCATGGCCTCCTTCGGGGATTCGGCGTCCTGAAGAGAACTGGCCTCTGTGCCTGTTTCCCTGCAAGAGAGATGATGGACGTGAAGGAGAGCCCAAGAGCCGATTCTGTTGACGAGTCAACAGGGCCTCCCCCTCAGGGCTAGCTGCAGCAGCCTCGCAGACTCTAATCTACTCTCTTCACTAATCTGCCTCTTCCACAGCCAGCCTGCCCACTGTCTGCATTCCCTGACGGCACCGTAGCTTCACGGGCTAGTCTCTGTTTAGGTCGCTTCAAGAACAGAAAACTCACTCTCAGGCACAGCCGGGTGCCCCACTGTTCTACACAAAACGTTCAAGGGTCTACACGGAAAGACTGTCTTGGGAAAACAAGGAAAGACAAACGTGGTAGTACACGCCTCCAATCCCGGGACCTGGGAGGTGGAAGGAGAGCTGAGACCAACGTGGTTTCATGAGAATCTGCCCACACACAAAAAAAAGGGGGGTTCAGGGAGTAGCTCAGCACATAATGGCACTCACCACCAAGACTGATAAACTGAGTTCAATCCTTGGTGACCGAATGAAAAGAACCAGTTTCTACAAGTTGTCCCAGGAGTGTACCCCCCCAATAAGTAAGTAAATAGTTAAAGGGGGGCAGTGCTGGACAGCTGGCTTAGTGGAAAGAGCTCCCAGAGTTTGGCTCCCAGCGTCCTCATGATGGCTCACAACCACCTACAACTCCAGTTTAGGGAGGGGTATGACACCTTCTTCTGGTCCCATGCACCCCTTCCCACATACATACCAAAAATAAATTTTAAAAATTAAACATAAAACCAAATAAATAAAAACAAAAAAGTCACGGCTGCCGCTGGGCAGTGGTGACACACACCTTTAATCCCAGCACTCTAGAGGCAAAAGCAGAGGATCTCCGTGAGTTTGAGACAATCCTGGTCTACAAAATGAGTTCCAAGACAGCTAGGGCTACACAGAGAAACTCAATCTTCAAAAAAAACTAGAAACAAAACAAAACCAAGGGGCTGGGGAGATGGTTCAGGTCAGTAAAGTGCTCGCTTTCCACACAAGAATGAGGTCCTGAATTTGGATCCCCAGCACCCATGCTGTACAGATGCTGTGGTCACACTAAGACCAGCACAGAGTAGACAGAACAGGAGAACCCCAGAGACTTAATGGAGCTTGACTGGTGAGCTCCAGTTTCAATGCTGAGGAGGACACCCAAACTTGACCTCTGGACTCCACACACGCACACATGTATGTGCATGCACATGAACACACAAGCAGAGCTCAGTTGGAATAATGCTCAAGCCACATGTAAAATGCCTTGGGTTTGATCCAGCAGTACGTGAAACCAGGTGTGGAGCTGGAGAGATGGCTCAGAGGTTAAGAGCACTGCCTGCTCTGCCAGAGGTTCTGAGTTTAATTCCCAGTAACAACATGGTGGCTCTCAACCACCTAAAATGAGATCTGATGCCCTCCTCTGGTGTGCAGGCATGCATGCAGGCAGAACACTGTCATAAAGTTTAAAAAACAAAACAAACAAGCAAACAGGTTGATGGTGCATTTCTATGACCCCAGCACTCAGGAAGTAGAAGCAGGAGAATCAGAAGTTCAAGGTCATCCTCGGCAGCATAGAGAGTCCAAATTCAGTCTGGCACCCGTATATGTACACATGCACATATATGCCCATGAATCCAAACACTAATGTTGAGAATCATGCTGAATAGTTTTTCCCCCTTAGTCCTTGAGGAAGGTGGTGTGGGATTCCCCTCTGCATGCTATGAATATTATTGGTTAATAAAGGAACTGCTAATATAAATACACATATAAATACAAATAAAGGAACTGCTTTGGACCTATAGCAGAGCTATAGGGAAACAGAGTTGGGAGGAACTAAACTGAATGCTGGGAGGAAGGAGATAGAGTCAGGGAGAAGCCATGGAACTGCAGCCGGAGACAGATGTGCTGAAACTTTGCTGGTAGGCCACGACCTCGTGGCGATGCGCAGATTAATGGAGATGGGTTAAATTAAGATGTAAGAGTTAGCCAAAAAGAAACTAGAGCTAATGGACCAAGTAGTGATTTAAATAATACAGTTTCTATGTGATTATTTAGGTTCCGGGTAGCCAGGAAATGAACAAGCAGCCTCCTCCAACAGAAAGGGTCTCTCAATCAAATCCAGAGCTCACAGATTGGCTAACCTTCCCAGCCAGCCTGCTCTGGGGATTCCCATCTCCTCCTTTCAGGGCTGAAGTTACAGGTGGTTGGCGGTGTCCAACCAGCACTGTTTTGACTGAGCTGTAAATCTAGCCTCAAGAGAACTATAATTTGGGGGCAGCTGAGCTTGAGGTGCCAAAACATACCAGGTGAAGATAATCAAAACCTACTTCTTTGGGGGAAAAAAGTGGGTGGGGCATTATTGTACATGCCTTTAATCCCATGCAGAAGCAGGGAGCTCTCCATAGTTCCTAATCCAGTCGGATTTACACTGCAAGTTCCAGGCCAGCCAGGGCAAAATGTTGAGACCTTGTATGAGAAAAAAAAAAAGTCTGGTGACTGTGGTGCATGCCTTAATCCTAGCACTCAGGAGGCAGAGGCAGGCAGATCTCTGAGTTTGAGGCCAGTCTGATCTAAAATGTGAGTTCCAGGACAGTCAGGGCTACACAGAGGAACCCTGTCACGAGGGGGGAAAAAAGTGAAGGGACAAGGTGATTGCTTCAAATTTACATACTTTTTACATTTTATTTATTTATTATGTATGTGTGTGTGTTGGAAGGGTGGCGTGTGTGTCACAGTGTAAACGGTGAGGTCAGAGAACAGCTTATGAGAGTCAGTTCTCTCCTTATTATGGGTTTTGCGGGTGGAACTCAGGCTGGCTAGCTTGCCCACAGCACAGCTGCACTCAAATTACAGTTCTCCAAGCCCCCAAGACAGGTAGATTAACAAGAGATGTGCACTGCTGGTTCCTGCTCCAGGTATTATCTCCCTGAAAACTGGCCTTTACCAGAGCAAGCCTCCAGCCTCCGTCCAGCCTCTTCCATTCACTGTCAGGTTCCTAGTCCAAGCCATGATCTGTTTGCTCTATTTTGTACCAGCTTTCTTTTTTTAAAATATGTATTTATTATATATACAATATTCTGTCTGTGTATATGTCTGCAGGCCAGAAGAGGGCACCAGACCTCATTGCAGATGGTTGTGAATCACCATGTGGTTGCCGGGAATTGAACTCAGAACCTTTGGAAGAGCAGGCAATGCTCTTAACCACTGAGCCATCTCTCCAGCCCCTCTTTTTGTTTTTCAAGACAGGATTTCTCTATGCAGCCCTGGCTGTCCTAGAACTTGCTCTGTAGAGCAGGCTGGCCTCAAAATCAGAGCTCTACCTGCCTCTGCTTTCTGAGTGCTGGGAATAAAGAAAGGCATGTGTCGCCACCACATAGCTGGCCTCCTAATGGACCTCCTTGCTTCTCTGCAGCTCAGTCTAGCTACAATCATCTGGCTACAACATGGTTGCTTCATGCCACATTTGCAAACACCCAGGGTGACCTGGTACCCACTATGTAGTCCAAGCTGGCCTAGAGCTCTCTATATCCTTTTTTCTATTTACTTATTTTATATGTATGGACTCTTGGCCTGCATGCATGTATGTGCACCACAGGTATGCATAGTGACCTTAGAGATTAAAAGAAGGCATCAGAGCCAGGTAGTGGTGACATACACCTTTAATCCCAGCACTCAGGAGACAGAGGCAGGTGGATCTCTGAATTGAGGCCAGCCTGGTCTACAGAGTGAGTTACAGAATAATCAGGGCTACACAGAGAAACCCTGTCGTCCCCCCCCCAAAAAATAAAAATTAACAAACAAAAAGAAGGCATCAGATCCCCTGGAACCGGAGTTATGAATGGCTGTGAGCCACCACGTGGGTGCTGGGTACCCAATCCAGGTCCTCTGCAAGAGCACCAGGTACCCTTAACAGCTGAGCCATCTCTCCAGTCCCAGATCTGGAAGTCTTAACAATCCTCCTGCCTCCACCTCCCAGGTGCTGAGACTACAGACATGTGTCTCCATGTCCAGCTTTCAGAGTTTGAAAGAGGTGGTCCTAGCTCACCATTTTTAGCCTCAGCTCACATCACCCCTGCAACCCCTTCCCCCAACCCCAGCGCCTGACAAGCCAGAACATGTGGTAACTTTTCACACCTCCTACTCTGGGCCCACAATATCTGAAGGATCTAGCTGGAAAATGCAACTTTCTGAATACCAATGTGCCTAAAAACACTAACCCGAGCTTCCGGAGAAGGTAAAACTCCTGGCGCTAGGAAGGAGCACCTGCTCGGGCAGGCAGGCACACCTATCCTGCTCTGCCAGAGTCCCCGCTTTCCCAGCTGACGGCCTTTGCGTCATGTTCCACCTTGGAACGACTTGACCATGTTTGAGGCACTATTCTAAGCGCTTACATGAACACTCACTTTTAGCCGTTCATCTGTTGTGCCCAGTGCAGAGACGAGCAAGCCAGGGTGCAAAGCGTGGGATGCATACCTGAGGTTCTGGAGAAGGCAGCAGAGCCCAGCACTCTGCCTAAGACGCGCATAGGCCTAAGGAGGGTTTGGAGCATTGCACTCAGAATGTCTTTTTTGGTTTTGTTTTGTTTTTGAGGCAGGGTTTCTCTGAGTAGCCCTGGCTGTCCTGGAACTCACCTCACAGACCAGGCTGGTCTTGAACTCAGACAGATCTACCTGCCTCTGCCTTCAGAGTCCTGGGATTAAAGGCACGTGCCACCACCACCTGGCTCTGAATGTCTTTCTAGGGTGTTGGTGGGGTGTAGGGTTGTGGGGTGAGGCTGAGACGGGGAGAACTTGCCTAGCATATAGGAAGTACTAAGTTCATTCCCAAGCCCACAGGAAAAAAAAATGGTTTAGTTAACAAACGTTTAATCATTCTCCAACTCTCCCCAAACGAGGTCCACTGTGTCCTCATGACATTCCGAATGTAGCTCATCTTCGGAGCAGCGACTTTGTCTTATGAAAGTGCACTGTGTCCATTGGATGAGAGGGGACATCCTGAGGACAAAGCCAGCTGTCTGTAGCCTAGTGTGGGGCCCTCAGAAGGCAAGCAGAAGCCAACTGAACTCCAGGGGGAAATCTGCCCAAGGTCAAGCGGCAGAGCTGGTGTGTAGGACCTGGCCTCCTGACTTCTGGGCTGAGTTGCCACGCCACCCTGGGTACCAGATATTGTCGTCAGCTAGCTGCTTCTTTACTGAGCTGGCAAAGACGCAGATTACAGGAGGCCAAGCAGAGAGGAGCATACTGAGCTGGGGCCCCTGACCTCAGCAGCGCCACCGCCGCTCTGTCCCTGTCCCCAGAGGACTTGGACAACTCCTTAACGCTGTCCATCAGACTGTGACTGGTTGTGTGGACGACATCAGGCAAACAAGAACTTGTGTCTGACGTCAAGCTCATTAGTATGTGTGTGGGCAATTCAGGCAAAATGCATGTCCTAAGGTCCAGCTCAGCTTTATCTTCTCACGTGACAACAGAGGCTACCAGGAAGTCTTCCCACGATTTGATAGACTGGGAAGTCTCTGGGCCACAGCATGACTTGGGACAGAACCGCTCCACAACCACCAGTGGTCAGAGCCACAGTGCGGGCAGCTGCTGGGTCCAGCTATGGTCCAGCGCTGGGCTAAGAGAAAAATCCCTCGCTAGGCCTTCACCGGATCCACACAGGGAAGAACAAGCTGACCGAACAGACTCTTAACTTCAAGCTGGCAGGTGCCCAACCCTGCACCAAGTGGCTCAAATACAGTGGATTATCAAATGGTTTCTTCCTTGCCCCAAGAACAGTGAATGAGAAATAAAGGAAAATAAAAATAAAACTTGTACTTTTCCTGGCCAGTTGAGCCAAGTAAATTTTGACAGGTTGCTAGCCTGAAAGGATTAATTCTCATACAGCCAGTGGAAGAAGTATCCCAAAATACCACAGACCACCAGAGGTGTCAGGTCCCCAATCCAGGGCCTCCCATCTCCCTTCCCCGGGTGACTCCGCCCTGTGCCACACCCGGGCCGGACCACTACCCACAGAGAGGAGGAAGGGGCCGCGCTGGTGGAAGATGGGAGCCCACCTAGCACCCCCTCTCCTACTGGGTGGCGACACGGGCCCTGGAGGCTCCTACCTCGCAGGCCAGACGCCGTCCCCACCGCGCAGGGGTTCCGGACTGGCCATGACTGCCCGACCCCGGGCTCGCCCGGAGCGTTATTAATAGCCGGCCCTGCCGGCCGCTGTGCCGGTGCCCGCGTCCGCCGCACTGCCAGCTGCAGCGGACACCAGATCCCGGCGACCCGGGCCTGACGCGCCCACTTGGCCCGGACCATCTCCCGCGGGAGGAGGGCGCGGGCCCTGCGGCCCTGGGGGCGGGGAGAGGGTGGGAGGGGATGGAGGGTTGGGGTGGGGTGAGATGAGGGGCGGCCCCCAGCCGCGCTTCGCGAACCTTCTTCTCTCTCCACCTTTCCTTCTGGCCCGGGTTGCTTGGCGAGGAGAGGAGGGGGCTGTGCAGTCTCAGGGGAGCAGTTCCCGGGCCCAATGGAGGCGGGAGGAAGGTTTAGTGGTGGGGTACCCAAAGGGACCCAGCGCCCCTCGTGTCAGCGCCCTGCGATCCCCACCCGCACAAGGGCTTGGAGAGCGGTCACCCTCCCAGTGTCCCGCAGCTGTCGTGAAGGGGTGGGGCAGGGCGCCTGCTGGAGAAGGGGGGGTTACCCGCCACACCCCATGCGTCTGGGGACAGCTGGGGGCCACGGTTGGGGTTAGAGAAGGGCTGAGAAAGAACTGCAAAAAGACTTAAGGCCCTAAAGTTGAGTCTGTGTTTAACTCAGGTCTCCTCCCTTCCCTTAACCCCCAATCTGGGAGGTCTTCTGAGAGCTCCACTTGTGGCCGCTGCTGTCGTGTTTCAAGGCATATACCCACGCCTGAGTCCTCGGTCCACCACCCGCGTCGGGCCAGAGTTCCACACTGAAGGCACCCTCCCCTACCCCCAATAAAAAGCTGTTGGGTCCCTTCCCAGACCTGGGCCCCAAGCATTTTTCCTCTGATTTTTTTTTTCCACTTAGTCCCGTGTCAGGGAGGAGGGCATTGATTCAATTGCAGAAGAATGCTGTGCACCCAGCAGGCCCGGGCCGGGAGGAGCCTGGACACCGGTGTTATCAGACCCTTGAGCAGCGGTTGGGGATGGAGAAGCAGAATTGATGCCAGTGTGTTGACGGGGTGGCTTGTGCATTGTGTTGCATATGCCCATAGCTGGGAACATCTGGTAGAGCTTCTGGGTATGGAGCAGAAGACCAATCTCTGGTCGTCTGTCCCACGTGGGCTCCCTCCGTTCCTGTACCGTGTGAGCTGTGGAAGTGCAGTTTATGACTTGACAGCTTGGTGCGTGTGGACGATGATGCCGATTGTGAGTGCTCTTCGGGAAAACGAGCACGGGCTGTGGAACAGATGTGAAACCTTGTGTGAGTGTGAACCTGACTGGGCTGACGTGCGCCAGTGTGGCAGCTTCGGGTAGGTGTGTGACGGCAGTTGTGCACTGAGGGCGCCTCCTGTGACTGTGTGTCTTCATCGGTGTGTTTCATTTTTTCCTTCCAAGGGGAGGGAGCGCAACACCCAGAGAACCCAATATACCCATGTAAGGTATATGGGAGAAAAGGCATTTTAGAGGCTGCTGGTCATTTTCTGACTTACCCCTGAAATATTCCAGGGGAGGATGTTGGCAAGGCCTCCCGCTGCTTGCTGGACAGCTGTTGCCAGTCAGAAGGAAGGAAGGGAGCAAGGGCAAGGCCTGCCAGCCAGCCTGCTGTTTACCAAAGGTGCTAGGCAACAGGCTGGGCGGCAAGGGTGGCACTCTCAGGGGCTGCCTCTGCTCCTCCAGCCCCCTGGCTCAGGAACTGTCTTGAGTGCCCCCAAGGCTGCATCCTTAACTCCAGGTAGCTCCCACGAAGCTCCGTAGGGTGAAAAACTGAATCCCAACTAAGACCCAGAAACTCCTGCAAGCTTGATGCTTTGTCTGCTATCTCTGTGTACAGCACCTTCTCCGGCTTCTGCTCTCCCTCAGAGCACAGGCCACGTGTCATTCCTCAGAGAAACACCCCCATAGCATCCTCAGATCCATTTTATCTATCACCTGCACAGTAGAAAACATTAGGGCTTATTTGGGGTTTGCAGGAGTTGGGCTCCCAGCACTCACCCTCGGCAGCTCACAGCTGCCTGTAACTTCAGGGGGATCCCACACTTCTGGCCTCCTCAGGCACCTGTACTTACTCACACACAGGCATACAAACACATAAATAAAATAAATCTAAAAAAAATTAAAAAACAGGGCTGGAGAGATGGCTCAGAGGTTCAGAGCACTGGCTGCTCTTCCAGAGGTCCTGAGTTCAATTCCCAGCAACCACATGGTGGCTCACAACCATCTGTAATGAGACCTGGTGCCCTCTTCTGGCGGGCAGGCATACATGCGGACAGAACATTGTATACATAATACATAAATAATTTTTTAAAAAAAGCAAGAGGTTTTTTGGGGGGGGTGCATTTTGAGGCAGGGTTTCACTTCACAGCCTTGGCTGTTCTGCTGACTTTGAACTCACAGAGGTCACCTGCCTCTGCCTCTGAACTGCCGGGCACTGGGATTAAAGGCAGGTGCCATCACTGGTTGGCTAATAGTGTTCATTCGTAATTCCTTTTCTTCCTGCTTCCTCCACTAGAACAGAAGCCGCATTAGGACAGGGACTGTGTGATTTATTCAATGCTGTGTCCTTGCACATCATAGAAAACTCCGTGGGACGGTCTCCGTGGGTAAGAACACTTCGCTGAGCAAGCCTGGCAATGGAGTTTAATCCCAGATCTTCCCCCATGTAAAGGTGGAAGAAGAGGACCAACTCCACACAGTTATCCACTGACTTCAACACATGCCCTGTGGCACATGTGCCGCCATGCCCACACACACATATCGTGTACACACACACACACACACACACACACACACGATAATAAAAATAACAAACACAATGTCTGTTGAATGAAGTATTGAAAAGAAGCTGGACGATAGTATCCAGACCAATTCAAGCAACATATTATACTGGCCACGTGTCAGGCTCATACTGCCCATGGTTAAAGAGCTGCAGTGGACCCTGGGAGACAGTCACATACACGTGTTCGGACTGCATCCACCCAGGTGGCCTTCGGAGCAAGGTCACGGGACTCAGTCCCTTGGTGCACATTGACGTCTGGTCTGTGCTGAGTCTGTATCAGAGCAAATGGCTTTATTGGCCCGGGTCTGCAAGAAGCTTATTGTGTAGAAGACGCCAGAACCGTCTCCTGGGGATCCAAGTTTGCATGGAGAGTAATGTCAATCACTAGGCTAAGCAAGGTAGCGATAGGTACTGACTCCAAGGGGCCCAGGGGTGGGAAAGGTCCCTCCTGGGACTGTCTCATAGACAGGGTGTCTGGGCCTGGAAGGATAAGAAAAGGATTTTTTTTCTGAGACAGACACAGAGGGTGCTTTTAAAAACCAAGTGTTTTGGGGGCTGGAGAGAGGGCGCAGCGGTTAAGAGCACTGATGCTCATCCAGAGGTCCCAGGTTCAATTCCCGGCACCCACATGGCAGCTCACAACTGTCTATAACTCCAAGATCCGACACCCTCACACAGACAAACCTGTAGGCGAAACACCAATGCACATAAAATAAAAATAAAAAAATAACTTAAAAAAAAAGTGTGTCCTCAAAGCCAAACTCAAGAAGAGAGGGCAGCCAGAGGCTGGCCATTCTCTGCCTGACCACCTTTCTCCATTTCTCCACTGTCCTACCTGTCCAGGGGCCGGGTCCTGCCGGTCTCACAGGTCCCTGGCCGTCTGCCTTCAGCTGAGTAGACATGGTAGAATAAGAAGGGGGAGAATGTGACCAGGATAGTCCCCATGCTCCCCTGGCTATACTGAGGACTGGACCCAGGGCCTGGCAGTGGCGCTCCACTGCTGAGCTACAGCCAGGGATCGGATCAAGGGGTCAGGGTGCTTATCAAGCTTCTCTCTCTCAGTGAGGTGTTTCTTGGCAGCCGCTACTCCTCTACCAAAAGCCACAGTTCGTGTGTGTGTGTGTGTGTGTGTGTGTGTGTGTGTGTGTGTGTGTCGTACTGAGCCTCCGCTGTCTGCAGGTTTCCTGGTGAGATCAATTCCCCTTCTCCTCTGACTCAGGGTTGTGTCTGTCGCGGGGCTGCAGAGCCTAGGGCGCTTCCCTGTGCCTACAAAGGCCTCTATGAACTGTCCTCTCCTGTGCTGTCTGCTAGCAAAGGCCTTGAGACTGCCTGTTTACCGATAAAACCTCCAAGGCAAGAACTGGATCCAAGGGAGCAGGCCCAGGCCACAGGGGTTAAGGGAGGTCACTAAACACCCAAATGAGAAGAGTGTGAGCAAGGCTGGTATGTAGCTGAGTGACAGTAACACAGACTCGGCGCCCAAGACTTTGAATCCAACACTCGGGAAAAGCAAAAACAAGCAAACAAAAGGAAGCTGGGATAGTTCAGTAGTAGAGCCATTGCCTAGAAAAAGAAGCAAACAGAACTAGAGAGAGAGAGAGAGAAGAGAGGAAAGAAGCTGGAGAGCTGCCTCAGCCGCTAGGATCACCTGCTGCTCTTGCAGAGGACAGCGTTCAGTTCACAACATAAGTCAGATGTCCCACAGACACCTGTCACTCTAGCTCCAGCAGTTGTGACACTCCCTCCTGGTCTGCCTGGGCGCCCCCGTGTGGCACCCTTACACAGAGACATATATTCTGTGGTGGTTTGAATGGGCATGGCCCCCATAGACTTTCTTATTTACTTATTTATTTTGTTTTTTGAGACAGGGTTTCTCTGTAGCTTTGGAGCCTGTCCTGGAACTCGCTCTGTAGACCAGGCTAGCCTCGAACTCACAGAGATTTGCCTGCCTCTGCCTCCCGAGTGCTGGGATTAAAGGTGTGCCCCCCCCCACCACCAGGCTTCCCCCATAGACTTTCATGTGTGAATGCTTGATCCCAGCCGGTGGGACTATCTGGGAAGGATTAGGAGGAGCGGCCTTGTCAGAGGGGGTGTGTCAGTGGGGGTGGGCTTCCATGTTGCATCATCATGAAGCATCAAAGCCCACACCATTCCCACTTTTCTCTCTGTCTGCTTTGTAACTGCTGTCTCAACACATAAGCTCTCGGTTACTGCTCCTGACCCACGCCTGCCCGCCTGCCTGCTGCCATGACCCTAACTCGGAAGGTTACAGACTAGCCCCGCAGTTAAGAGCTTTCTTGTACAAGTTGCTGTGGTGCTTTGAATGTAACTGGCCCTGCCTAAATTCATAGGGAGTGGC